ATGGCACGACGTTGTTACGCTGCTGTGGCCAGACTCCGGTCCTGACAGTACTTCCTTCTGGGGTCGGAAGCGCCTTGCCAACATGCCACTCAACCTGATGTACGTCTGCGGCGCGACCGAAATGACACCCAGGTACGTCCTCTGTCTCATACACATACCACATTCCTCGCTTCAAGACGAGGCCTCAACGTCGCAGATACCTTTGTGGCTTCGCACCCGTGCGGCTGTAGAACAGCAGTTTCTCCCCAAGACCTCAAGCATCCCAGTCGGTGAGTCTTTCGTCCGTTTGTCAACGAAGTCGTTCAACGCCCCGCTGCAGTTGGTGCCCAAATCTCGAAACAAGTCGCTCGCTTCCATCGTGCCATGCTCTGTGACTGCCCGATCGACCCTCCCGGTCCGCATCTAGAGCGTACGTTCCTCCTATGGCATCCATCTACACTGCACGCAGGATGGCGCACGCGGAGCCGCGCCCGACACGAGCGCATCCGGAGCAACCGTTCGCCGCGGCCCGAGCGAAGCGAGCCGAAGCACAAAAGGCTCGCGGGAAGGCCAGAAACGACGCACACCCTCGGCGGTGGGGCGGGCGGAGTGCGCACGCGCGCACCCCCGGGGCGATCTACCCCGTCCACGCGTACGCTCCACGGAGGTGTGCGCAGTGGCCGCCTGTGGGTCCCTGTGGTACGCGCGCGGCCGCGCAGAAAATGGAGATCTGAGCGGCCTGAGCCTTGTTCGCGCTTGGACCCCGCGATCGGACGCGGCACACGCCCGATCTGCACGTCTGGTGGCTCGATGCCATCCAGATGGATCAAGATTATGTCTTGTGAGATTGGCGAAGCGGATCAAGTTGGCGATGTGGAGGGGGACGAAGCGTTTGCGCAGCCGGGCGCACGAGACGTTATTGGTATCCCCGAGTTTCTGCTCTGCACACAGACGGGCGCCATAAGACGCTCTTCGTGTGCATATGTGTCTGTAGCGACGCAATGAATGGAGAAGAAATAGAAACAAATGTGCATCGGGGAGTTGTGCATGCAGACCCGGGCGCCTAGACGCTGGACATATACTCATGAGACTTGATGAGTCTTGTGGTCACGAAACAAGACATCAAAGTTCACAACCACGCAGGGGCTTAAAAATACGTTATCATTTACATGATGAACACTGCCAAAGTACAGACACGGGGTGGCTCTGCCGACGAAATACAATGTCCAAGGGAAGGGTATATGTAGATGAATAAGTAAGGATGACCATCCGTCGTATCTAACGCGTGGTAGTGGATTCGTGTTAAATGTCGTGAGGGGTATGGAAAGTGTGTTTAGGAACGTGAGTGATGAGTCCGGCACTGAGGCCTGAGGGAAGTCCTGGATGGGAAGTAACTCGAGCATGCAGAGAGGGAAGGATGGTATGACGGTGATCGACACGCGATAAGCGTGTGGAGAGACGATGATTAAATTCCTCGTTGAAAGGTATACGGGGTATATGACGTCGTGAGGAAGATCTAGGGAGGGGGCATCGGTCAACGGGGAGCTCGACGGCGACGAATGTGGTGCGGACACACCTAAACGGGCCGGTGGCGGCGGCCTCCCAGCACCACCGCGAACTCCTGCGACGCTCCGGTCTCCTTCAGACCCCAGAGGAAGCACTGGTCGCCGTCCAGGAGGTCCGCGTACGTCGCCTCGCCCCCACGCGCACGGCCGCTCTGCCCCGCGCGTGCCCCAACCGGTTCGTGCTCAAACAACCAATTGCACCTCCCCGCGAGCTTCTTCGCGATGCAGTTGAGGACGTCCGCGACGGTGAGCGGCCCGCGCTCGGAGGGTGTGCAATGCGCGAAGAACTCGGCGTTCGAGCCTGCGTTGAAAACGATCTTGCACCGCGAGAAGCCAGTTCCGAATGCCTGTTCTTCGCAGCGCGTGTCACGGAGGAGGTCGTGCGGGAGGGCCTCGCGTAGGTCCCACCTGTGAGGATGCGGGAGAGAGGCGAGGAACGGGGTGATGGGGTGGTATGGAGCGGCAGGGGTGGCCGTCGACGTCGAGGTGTGTGTCACCGTCGTTGAAGTCGAGGTCGACAGGGTGGTGGACGGGGCCCGATAGAATCGGACGCGCGCGCGGGGAGGTGCAGGCACAGGCAGCTCGTCATGCACGTCGGATCCGGGGGACGTCGCAGGGGTGATGCACAGGGACGCTCCTTCACCGCTCGGGCTGAAGGAGAAAGAGGGGCCAGACGACCGAATGCTGCTCGCGAGGCTGCCGCGGCGAACGCCATCGTTGTTGGGGGTATCCGCTGGAGCAGCAGACGGAGAAGAGAGTGGAGGTGATGAAAGGTTCGACGGCGGAGTCAACGGCCATGGAGGGAGCGACAAGCGCGACGACGGCGATGGGTGGGCAGAGGAGGCATCGCCCGTGGTCGATGCCTCCCAAACGCCGAGAGTGCGGGCCGTGGTGACGTCCTCCCCGCGCGAGCTGAGAGCACCGCGCGGAGCCGCGTTCCCGTTTCCACTCGCCGCGGGACGGTCTTGCGCCAGCCTTGCGCGGGTTTCTTGCCCATCGAAGGAGCGAGAGGGGTGTTCTCCGTGCTCCAGGCCGTCCGTGCCATCAGCAGACCCCACGCGGAGGGCCTGCAGACCAGGAGCTAGGCGCGCGACGACAACGTCGTGTGCGGGCGCGAGCTGCAACTGGTAGTGGCCGCCGACACGCGAAACCTCTGGATGGCCATGCGCGCGCGGGACATTGGGTGCGGAAGGCAGGGACTGGAGTGCCGACAAGCGGAGGGGGCGAGAGAGAGGAGAGGGATGAGTGAGGGTGGGCATGGCCTGAAGGACGGCGGAGGGTGCGGCGGAGGGTGGAACGGAGGGCACCGACTGTACGAGGGGGCGGGGTTGGGTTGGATGAGGACATCGCGGAGCGGTGCGCACGTATTATAGACATCCTGCTGTCTGTGTGTACCGGTGGGCACTCCTTCCCATCCCGACTGAGGAGGAGCAGGATATGCGAATCCGCGGCGTTGAAGAGACTCCCGCGCGCGCTGTGGGCGGTGTCTCGACCGTGGCCTCTGCATGGCCGTTGGAGGTCGCCGTCAAAATTTTGGAATATTCAAGCGTGAGGATGGACGGGAGGAGGTTAGAATGCGGGGGACAGAAGGGTGTGGCGGAGGAAGAGAGGAGGGAGCGCCGGGCGAGGGCAGTGCGACTGGCTATGGCGTCTCACCGCCACTCCCCACTCTCCTCCTACCATGTCGCTTCCCTCTGTGTGTCCGTCTTGCTGTCGACATCTCCATTCCCCGCCTGTACTCGCCTCTTACACCTCCAAGCCACAACATCACGGCCAACGACACCTTCTTGCCAGGACACACGCAACACTCTGCTGAGAGTATCCAATTGGGATGCATGCGTTCATTCGCACCTTATGCCCGCTTCCCTTGGATCTAATGACCCCCTGAAGCGGCACGAGCTTCGCTTGTTGCCCAAACGGTGAGTAGTTCCCTCACATCTTCACGCGCAGATCCTCCCCTGGTCCGTGGCGCACTCGATGTCTCTGCACGGCAGTGTTGTCAATGCATGTAGTAGCAGTATCTGGGATATACCATTATCTGGGAGTGGAGTTGTCTGTGTATGCGACGATTACAACTCCATCCACTCTCTCGTGTCTTGTGCTACAGAGGGGGGCATGAAAATCGCCCTCAGGCTTGCGTGCACCCCGTCTTGCGTCCATCCAGCCGGGTCGGTGTGCGCGCACGTCGGCGGGGTGCAAACCCAAACATTCGGGCGGTGGCGTCGCATAGCGCAGACAAGCACGCTGCACGGACGGCCGGCATGCGTCAGTAGAAGTGTGTGTGCCAGGGGTCGGGAGGACCTGTTGGGACGAGCGGCGTCGGGGCAGTCCAGCGACCGATGTGGGTGCGCCCACTCGACACCGCCCGTGACGCAAAGACAATAAGACTTGGCCGGGCCGTGACCTACCGCAGCGCCTTGGTTGTGAGGCACTTGGCAGAACTCTAACCTTGGCTCCCACTGCTCGCTCAGCAGGGGGAGTGTGGACGCATCCTGGACATCCATCCACTGTGTCAGTGCGCTCGCCGAGATGGCTGCGATTGGGAGGACGCAGTGAGGTGTTTCAGGATTTATCGGCAGTCGGATCCTGCTGGTGACCAGAGGCGTACGCACGAGAGCCCTCCCGACTTCATACATACCCTCCTTTTCTAAGCTTGCCTCCCATGGAGACCCCGATGTCGGATGGAGCACCCGTGTGGAGCACCGTGAAAGAGTGTGCAGCTGGGTTTTGTTTCTGAGACTCACGATCCAGACATTCCACGATATTCACGTCAGCGTAGACGATCGCCTCTCTCCATTCCCCCGCGATAAGCATATCGGTACCGCCTTGACACCGCGTCTACTGAACTAAAAGCGTCCAGAGAGACGCTGCCACACTGCGATAGCGCGGTGCCTGCGACGCGTCTGGCCCTCGCAGACGTAGACAAGAAGCCCGACAGAGCTTCGCGGGCGGCGGCTTCTGTCTCACTTTCATGAGCGCAGACGCACAGGAAGAACACCGGTCTCGCGCTCGGAGCTCGGGAGAACATGACCAAGCGTCTCTTCCCGCGGTGACGTCAGGGTCTGTCCGTCTACTCTCCAGACCGGACTCTGAGACCAAGGTGTGGACGAGACGAGGGATCTGGATCGCCTTCTCACAGCGGACAGGGAGCGCTGCAGTGCTGGACGGTGGGCAGTGGTGCACGAGGCACACCCTCATCGCGGCGCCATTAATCAACACGGATGTGAGTGAACACCACAACGAGGATGCTCCACTTGAGCAGAGTATGGTTGGATGAGGAGAGGGTATAATGGCGTCGTGAGTATTGGTATGAGACCACCGTCCTTCCGGACTTGAGATCAAGTATGTACGACCCGCCGCTGTATCAAAAGGCATATATGCGACATTGTTGAGGAATTGACACGCCTCGGCCTGCTCACTGTGGTACATTACTGTCTCCAGTATGTGCGGCGCGGCCTAGAATGGACGCCCAGCTCTGATAGCCTTCGCTGCCTCACTCATCGCTTCGTCGCGCAGGTAACGCCCGTAGATCTCCGTGTACTTATCCTTCTCCTGGAACAGCTTCGTGTAAGCAGCCCAGCACACGCGAAAGGAAGATCACCACATACGCTGCTCGTCTTCTTGAGGCTGTCCCGCGACTCGATCCTCTCAGCGTACTCATTCCACCCACTGCCGACCGCCGACCGGTCGTACCCTCGGTTGTCCCTGAGTATATAGTCGCGCACGATCCACGGCGCGACAGCGACATCGGCAAGCGTGAATTCTTCGCCAGCAAAGTACGGGCCCTCGACCTGCGCCATGAGCGTTCGGAGCGCGTTGTAGAACTCCTGGAGGCTCTCCGCCTGCTTTGCGGGCTCCTGCGCCATGACGGTGCGCATGAAGGCGGGGACGACGCTCTTGCTGATGAAGTCGACCCAGATGCGCACGCGGCCGCGGGCGATCGGATCGGAGGGGAGGATGTGGGGCGTCTGGGAGGGGAACGCGTCCTCGAGGAACTCGCAGAGGATCAGGGACTCGTAGAGTGCCTGTCCCTTCCACTCGACGGCGGGGACGAGGCCCTTTGGGTTGATTTCTGTTCGCGCGTGGTGTGAGTGTGTCTGAGGCAGCACTAACTTCGCGAGCGCAAGGAGGACATACCGAGGAAGTGTTTCCCTTTCTTGTATGGGTTTACTTCCACGTACTGGTAGGGAATGCCGCGCTCTTCGAGAACGATCCGGGTGCGTTGCACATACGGGCAGACCTGCGAGACGACGACGGAAATGTGAGAGGATGGTGCTGAATGCTGACCTGAGGCTTACCCAGCCGGAGTAAAATACGAGATCCTGCTTATCTTGGTGCTCGCTGATGGTTTTCGAAGCCAGACCCGTTGCGTGGGGGAAGATTTTCACGTCGGGAACGCTCATGATTGATGCAGTCGTGGACGGTCTCGGGCTGCGCAGATGGGGGCAGCAAACAGCAGCAGGCCGGTGTGTATATCTGGGTCTCAAATAAATGAGTAAGCACTCTCTCAGCGCACGACATCATCCAGAGGTCCGGTGACGAATGGACGCTCCAAAAGAGCTCATCTGGAATGTTTTCTTTGAACTGAATAACAAAGTTGAGACGATGAGAGACCATACCTTTGGCTCAGTTGCGCGGAAGGTGCGCGGATGGTACAAGCCATATTGGCAGCGATGTCAAAAGGCAAGCGACGATTTGGCGCGCTCAACGTATCTGTCATGAGAATTTTGGGGTCCTTTGGGGGACCCCGGATGCATGGGATGACGTCACGCGTCGTGCTAGCTACGACAGCCTCGGGCGACCACTCAGTCCAGGTGCATGAGACCAAAGTGAGCTTGATTGCTCGACAGTATCTCGAACGCGTACGTCCCCAGTGATATTTCTGACGAGACTGCAACTAGTGCTTGTACTAAACTCTGAAACACGTCTCTGCGTCCTCCCAATCGAAGCCATCTGGGGGAGCACAATGACGTAGGGCGGATGTCCAGGGTACGTCCACACCGGCCGCACTTCCATATTTGCGAAAGCGCGATCAATTGTGCACGTCGACGGGGTCCGTGCTGGACGAACTGCGTGCGCACCCGCGGGCGCGCGACTCCGTCACCTGTCGCGCAATTCTCCGCCCTGGAATGTCGTGTGCGAGCGCTGAGCGGCGCCGCGTGGCCAACGTACGCCGACGAGGAGCGATACAAACGAGGGATTGCTGTGGCCCCAGGCAAGACCAAGACGTGCGCCGATCGTGGGTCCATACGCCCGACGGCGCTTAGATCTTGTATTCTCCGACGCCGCCGCCCTCGGTAAACGATTCTGAGACGTTGTGGGTCCCGCGGTCACAGCAGCGTGGATGGAGCGACAGTCCCCTCAGTTCCTCCCGCGAAGCTCCAAAAGGCGATCAAGACTCACCGGACCCACTCTCGCGCCTCGGCCCTCTGCCCCACCCGCTGCTCCCCGGCCGCTCGTCCACGCGTCCGCTCCATCTCCGTGGGACGCGGAGCGATCTAGCTTCGGAGCTTGAAGTTTCAAGTCCGGAACCAAAGCGCACACCCGGGGCGCGTGAGCACCGCATGGCCGACCAGGGGCGGCGCCCAGCAATGCATGATCGCCAGGAGGTGGCTGGGTGGCCGTGCAGCTTGATCCCGGCGATAAACAATGCGGCAGCATAGGAGGCCGATTTGGGCTGGCCACGATGAATAGGGTGGATAGGACAGCGGCGGGCGGACGTTCATGTAGGTTCATCGTGAGCCTGCAGGGTCCCACGGGTGACGAGGTGGGGCCCCACGGGGTGCGCTGCGGTGCCCGGCAAGGAGGCGATTTGCGTGAGGGTGCTTCTGGTTGTCGCAGAGTTTGGTCGCACATGGGGTCGGCGTGCACGAGCTGCGCATATAAGTAGCTATGTAGCTCAAAGTTAGCCAAGAGAGCGGACCGGGATGTGCGCAAATTTACCTGGCGAGCTGCGCTCAGAAGCGCTTGCTGTTTCACAGGGTTGACGTATGTTCGATCATGGTGGTTACTAGTCCGCTAGCACATCGGTGTGTGTGTGTGCTATATCCGTATGACGAGGTTCGGTAGATGAGGGGAAGTGGTGATGGTAAGAAAGGAACACAAGATCTGGCGCCTATCGGCTCGGCGAAACCTGCTGGCGCTCTCCATGAATTTACATCAGATTTTATCTCCGATTTTGTGAAGGCCGGCCGCGGAGCCCCACAACACGCTAAGACATCACCCGCGCAGCTAACTACATCGTCACCCGGAAGATGGTCTGAATGAATGAACCCTCAGGGCAAGAAAGGCGGGCTCGTGCCAGGGCCCAGGAGCCACGCTTTCTTGCCTCGACGGTCCACGTCTGCTAGTATTCCGAATCCCGCCGGACTTTGCTACTGCTACATACAACGCGGCCAGTATCTGCGTATGGGCCGAGACTCAAAGCCTTGTCTCAGCAGGTGAGGGAGGGGAGTACTGGAGGGATCGAAACGAGACGATCAGCGAGAACATGCGTTGCGCCGTGCGCCGTGCCTGGAGCTCGAGTCTGTTCACCGGGACTACTGTATGTATGTGTACTATTGTGTCGTGCGTGATGGGGTTTCCTTGTAAAGTAGTAGTTAGTGAGAGCTGTACGAGCGTGATCCGCATTATAGAGCACGCGCAGGCAGAGGGGGTAAATTAGGATAGGAGTGCAGGGAGTGTGCGTGTGGGGTCGTGTGGGGTCGTAATAAAACGCAATTCCGGGCCATGAGAGCAGTCGCGTCTTTAACCAACGGACAGTGCTCTATACGAGACGAACGGGTCAATTAGCCACTGACGTACGCACACCAAGCCCCCGGACCCACATACCTCAGTTCTGTGACGGGTCCCCTAAGATGACCAACACCTCGTCCACCTGATCCGTCGGGCGCAGCTCAAAGAGAACGCTCTCGCGCCTAGGGTACCAGTCGACGTTGACCATCGTGTCACCGTCGGCGCCCAGCCGATGCCGTCGCTCTTTGACCGCATGCTCGTAGCGCCAGCTCCCGTTCGGGTCGTCCGCCGTGAGCCACTGCGTGCTCTTGTACATCTTCCGCCCGATCGCGCTGAGGACATCGCGCACCGTGAGCGGCGCTCTGTCCTCGCGCCGGACGGTGCAGGCGAACGTCGGCCCGCCTTGCTCGTCTGCGCTCCGCGTCGCCAAGGTCCACAGCGGGTTGAACATCAGCTTGAGCTCAGAACGCTCGTGGCTGGTGAACGCGGGTGCGTCGAGTGGAAGTCCGGCGGGAGGCTCCTTGCAGGTGCGGAGGTCCCAGGTGTGGTAGTCGGCGAAGTAGCGCAGGAGGTCGACGAGCACGGGCCCGACGTCGTCCCCAGCCTTGAACTCGGGATCGTCGGGTGACGTCGGCGGCATCCTATACCACCCCGCGAAGAGGGAGTTGGTGGAATCGGGGGACCCGGACGACCGGTGCCCGCTGCGGACGCTCGTCGGCGTGCCCGCGCCCTCAGCGTTCGTGGGCGAGCTCCAGCGCGCAGCTGCGTCGGGGCGGGGGATGCGCGGGGGGATATTGGATTGGTCGTGGGCAGTGGCAGGGACGTGGGATGCGCGGGGGTGATGGTGAGGGCTGAGAGCACAGCTGCGAGCCCGACGCCGGGGCGGGAACGAGCACCAGCGTCCTCGGTGCCCAGGGGAGCGGGGGCGGTGACTTGCGCGGAGAGGGCTGAGGGAATGGCGGGGAGAGGGCGGGACCGCACGGCGGGGCCACATTCTTGATCGTGAGCGGGTGCAAAGGCATGGCTCGGGGCGCGGGGAGTGGCGTTGCCCAAGACGGGTCCTCGGAAGTCATGGCTGTGCGAGAGGGATGCGGCGTGCAGGGCGGGGAGCGCAGAAGGCGCGAGGGTGGGAGTGACATCCGGGAGGTCGACCGCGCGGAGGAGCGGTGGATGGAAAGGCGGAGCGTAGGGGGAAGGGGGAGGGTGTTTGGATCAACCGCGGGTGGAGCCGGTGGGTACTCCTCGGTCTGGTTGGAGAAGCGAACGTATGCGTTGCTGCTCGCGCGCTGGCGACCACCGTGCGACGTGACGTCCGAGGAATTGACCGACGGACGCGCGTTGAAAAATGGTGCGGGTTGTAGGACATAGCGCACGGTCCTGGCGCGCAGGCGCAGAGAGTAAATACGAAGAGAAAGTGGGTGTGGAGAATGAAACGGGTGGTGACTCCCCCCCAGCCACTCCGCCTTATACGAGGGCGCGGTCCCGCGACTTCCTCTCTTGACATGACGGTTAATTGGTGTTGGTTCCTAGTGTCCGGTGTACGCCTCATCCGAGCACTACCAGTATGCTTAGTCATGTATACTACGTTCCACGCATTGTACAGTACTATGCCGCCGTATCGTCCTAGATCGATATCCAATCTATCATCCTATCCACCATCGTCGTCCTATCCGACACCCTGTCCGTCATCCGGCGTCCTTCGCCTCTACGCTCTCTTCGTCCACTGCTCGATTCTTCACAATTGGAACATGTGCCGCGGAGACCTCGCACACGTACCGACCCCTTGGGAACAGAACGACTGTGTGGGACAGGGCACAAGTACCTGAAACGCGACCGGAGCAGGTAGATTTAGACGCACTGCTCACGACAACCGGATGGGGATTGTCTTGCGAACCGAGAAGGTTCACTGCGGGCACGGGCGGCTGGCACCAGGAGGCTCGGAGGACGGGACTTCCCGACATGCAGCGCTCGCTCCGAGCGCCAGGCCTGAAGGGTGTCTCGTCTGATAACGCGACCCATCCACCTACTCGGGTCCCCTGTGCGCGTCGAGGGCCCACGTACAAAGGGACGCAAAACACTGGCTGTTGGCAGTGAGAGGGAAATGCACAGACATGTAATATGGTTGCTTATCAATGACGGCATGCCCGACAAACGAATACAGAAACCAGGTGGAGCGCACGCACCACCGCCTACCATGGGCGGTGTGAAATCGAAATCAATCCCGTCTCCTATCGCAGCTGGAGTCCATGGCCGACGAGTGGCAGCCCCGCACAGCTATCTAATCCTAATAACATGTGACGGTTCGACCTCGCGCATCTCAATTTCCCGAGGATGAGCGCGGAGGACCAGACTCTGGGGTCGCCATGCTATTCCAGGCAGAGGACAGGACAAGCGTTTCCCTACGCACGGCGGGGACACTTGTTCTGGCCCCTCCATAGCAACCAACGTCTTCAAAATCACGAAGACGAAGTTCCGACAAGCGACGAAACTGCTAGATACACTCACATCGACATTTCGGAGAGGGCATGTGCTCCCGTCGTCCCCTGGGAAAGACCGATGTAACAAGTTGCGTTCAGCGGGCTTGGGGTTCGCACAGCGCGAATTGGATGGATCTGCAAAGGAGCCCACGGGCAATCAGTTACGAAAGCCTTCATTGCGGAACGTCCACGCCCATTCGGGGCTTTCTCGCGTAAACCCGGAGACAGAGGCTATAGGTTCGCGCGAGAAGGATCACCGCAGCAGTGCCTTCGACTCGATTTCCGAACGACGTCGATGCCGCGGCGCCTGACGCACGCAGTACGCAGGCAGCCTCTCGCACTCGACCCCCGCGCAAAAGAAGCAATACGTTGCACAAGACGGACCTCGCGCCCGCCGACGAGCCACGATAGACGCGGCACCCAACAGCGCCCCCGTCCCCGCCGCCGAACCCGACGCATGAGATCGCGCGGTGCTCTCGCGATCTGGCCCCCACGTACACACAAACATCGCCCAGATTCCGTGCCGCCGCGCTCCCAACTGAGACGTCGGCGCAGCGGAGAGTTCGGGCGGGGGAAAGGGGCCTCGGCGCGAGAGTGGAGATGGGCGCACGAACCTTCGAAGACCATCGTCCGCCCGTCTGGGGCTGGAGGAGTCATCCTCTGGCGCGACCAAAACAGTCGTCGTGAGGCCGGGATCCAGGGTCCGTCGTGCAAGGTTGAGTTCTGTCGCGCGGGCTGGGGAATGATGACGATGCGCGATGTCTCGTCACGACTCACCGGAGGCCCCTTCTGTTCGCGTCGTCGATCCTATCATGCGAGGTGCATGTGTCACCGCGTATTCGGGCTTGAGGTGGCCGCGCTCGGGCGCTGAAATTCGGTATATGCGCGCTGGCGAACTGCACAGGAATATCTCGCAAGGATCCTCTCCAGAGCCCAGGCCCGACGGAGTGACCTCCTGATATGACGGCAGCCGCAGCAAGACTGAATCGGAAAGAGTGAGCCAGCATGAGCGTCGGCGGCTTTGGCGGTAGGGTCCTTCAACACGAGGAGATGGCGTGGACTTTGTACTTTGGCCATGGAATGGACCGGAGCCCTGGGGCGGGTTGGATGGAGGAGGCAAGGTCAGACGCGCGTTGCGCGTCAGCGTGGTGCCGGACTAGCGCCATACTAGCGCCGGTTGTCGCTCTCGGCGTCTCCGAACGACCGGCACGGATTTACGGAACCAATCAGCAGGCGAAGACATGATGAAGAGACCAAACCAATAGACTGACACCTCGTTCGAGGGTTCATGTATTTTCAAAAATATTTTCAGGGAACATGTTGAAGTCGGGAGGGCGGTATGGTCGATCGACCACGGACTCTCGTTCCCCCGCGACGTCGTCACCTGTTTGCACGTATTTCCGCCGTACGTGTATGCGCCCGCGCCCCGATGGCCACCTCAGTCCTCGACTACGAGACTGAGGTGAGCTTACCGTGTACTCTCAAAGTTGATCCCGGGTCTCGAGCTGATCTGTGTGTACCAGACGTACATATTCAATAGAACACCCGACTTAAGACTGGTTATTGAGCTCTCAGCTCTCTCCGCGGCGTGCACTCGGCTGCATCGACATTTGATCAAACGTTGAGCGAGGTTTAGCGAGGCCACGCGAATTTTCAGCTCGGCGCTGGTCTCGAACACACGGTTTTTTCGGCGCGTGAAACACTCTGTAGTGGAACGGGCGAGATGCGGGTGCTGAAAATCCTGCTGAGGTCCACCTCCCCGGGGCTGCAGTGAGCCTCGAAGAGCCGGGGAATATCGACCGCCAGGCCCGTCGATCGCCCATCGCCCGCCCATCTCACACCCATTCGCAGCTACGCGCGACGCACGATGCGTTCCGCCCTCCTCCACGCTCCTCCGCGCGACGCGGAGCCCCTGGCCGACGCGAGCGGACCAAGCACGCGCGCGCAGTGGCGGCGGCCCGGCACGGTGGTAGCCAAACTCTGGAATTTCGACAAGAACAATGCACGATCTCCGCAGCGGCGGCGGGCGTACCGTCGCATCCGGACTCCGGAATCCGAACGCCGCGTCGATCAGGCCCCGCGCGCGTGCGCAGCGGCTGTGGTGCTCTGTGGTGGAGGTGCGACATGCCGCGGGGACGGAGCACGGAGAGCGGCCCTGCGCGCGCGGGAACGCGGCGAGGCGGGCGATTTCAGGCTTCCAGCCCCCAGCTCTCCAGCCCAGCGCGGGCCCGATCAGCAGTGCTTCTAGCAGCTCGCGCGGCCTCGAATTGCGGTCGACGATGTCTGAGATTGAGATTGGCGAAGACACGGATCAATTTGGCGCGTCGACGGGGTTCGTGCTTGAGGCTCGACGAACTGTGTGCGCACCCGCGCTCGCACGCGCGACTCCGTCACCCGTCGCGCTTCTCCGCCCTGGGATGTGCTGTGCGAGCGCTGGGCGGCGCCGCGTGGCTACGGTCCGCCGGCGAGGAGCGATGCAAACCAGGGATTGATGTGGCCACAGGCAGGAACAAGAGGTGCGCTGGCGGTGGGTCCATCCGTTTGGCGCCTAGATGTTGTGTTTTGCGCCGCCGCCACCCTCAGTGGACGATTCTGAGACCTTATGGGACCCGCGACGACAGCATGATCTGAGGAGAACAAGGGGCAAGCGGTGCACACATCATTGCAATGCATGAGGAGATCGCATACGAACATGGTTTCATTGAAAAGACTGCATTCCCGCTTAAGAGGGACAGGTCTCACTTCTCGTCCGCGTAAGTATGTGTAAGGGTAAAGTCCAGAGGACGGTTCGGCGCTGGCCGATGGGACAAAGGGTTTCGAAGTGAAGGGAGGAGTGGGGCAAGTCGGAGAGGTGGTGTGTATGTGCTGTATCCTGTGATGCATGGGGGTGGAGATGTGGGTGATGTCGTGCGGGGCATACGTAACATGTACGATACCAGTCCAAGGTGAGAAGAGTAATCCAGGGTGAGAGGAGAGGAGAGAAAGTCCGATGACAAGGGGAGAGATTCTAGATGCTACAGCAAGGACGATGTGGTGAGGAACAGAGTGATGAAAGGAACCAGGAGAGGCGAGATGAGGAGAGGAAGAAGGGGAAAACAGCGAAGAAGTGAATGATAAGAGGGTCAGGGGATGAAGGGAATCGATAGCGACAGTGAGGTGAGCGGAAGATGGCGGCACAGATGGATAGCATGGACGACAGGAGATGTGCAAGACATAGCGATAAGATATACACGGGCTTCTACGGTGGATCGTCGAGGGTTTCGTGCAGCGGATGAGGTCGTGATGGGGGACGATGAGGAGATGGGAGAGTGGCATGGACGGTCCAATGAGTGTAGAGTACATCCATCACTATAAGTATTGCAATATGATTATATCGCTGAGCGACATTAGGCTGGAGAGAGCGCATCGTCAATGAGGAGCGAGACGATGAACATGGTCTAGTGTAGACGCACCTAGAACTGGTCTCCTAGCACGACGGCGAACTCCCCCGGCACGGTGGTCTCCCGCAGTCCCAAGAAGAAGTACACATTCGTCTTCACGAAGTCCGCGTAGGTTATCGGCCCTTCGGCGCCGCCGGCGCGACGGCGGTTCGCCGCGCGCACGGTAGACGGTTCCTCCGCGCCGACATGGGGTGTGCCCGCCAGCTTCTCGCCGATCCCGCGCAGAACGTCCGCGACAGTGAGAGGATTGCCATTGTGGGAGGCCTTGCAGGTCGCGATGAATCGCTCGTCCGGGGAGTCGGCATTGAACACCACCTGACACTTGGTGAGCCCAGCTGCGAAGGCGGTTTGGCGGAAGCGATCATCGCGTAGGAAGGCCGCAGTAGGGCGATGACGAACATTCCATCGGGGAGCAGGGAAGGAAGCGAGGATCCTGGCGATGGATTCGGGTGGAACGGCGACGGGAGCGGGAGCGGGCGTGACGGGGACGGCGGGCGGAGGGACAGCCGGCGCTGCGACGACGGACACGGGGGCGGGGACAGGCGCAGGCGCAGGCGCCGTCCCGTGGGACGCAGCCTGGGGGTGGCGGGTGTCGGGGTGGAGGGTGTGGAACTGGCGGGGGAAGATTCGGAGCTCGCGGCGGGGGCGGGGACACGGGTCGCAGATGCAGCAGTGGGCCTCACGGTGGCGGGGACAAGCGTACGCGCGGGCTTGAGGGCGTGTGTGCCGACCTCGGGGGACGTGAGCGGAGTGCCGTACACAGACGCGCCGGTCCCGTCGGAGCGGCTATCGGTGCCTCCACTCCAGCCGGATGCGTACGACGTCCCGGACAGGGGGCGGGTGTTCGGGGGAGCGTCGGGGACGTGGCCGATTGGAACGCCGAGGTGGGAGGCGGGGACGGACGCCGGCGGGGCTGGAGGGATGGGCAACGGGCGCGAGGCGGATGGCGGCGGAGGGACCGAAGCAGGCGACGGACGCACATGCTTAATTTGGGGCCGCGTGTGCGGGGGAGGAATTGGAGGGGGCGCGTGAGAGATAGTGCATGATGACGACGGTGGGAGACCAGGAGACGGCGACGGCGGGAGGGCAGACGGCGACGACGAGAGGGCGGACGGAGGTGGGGGAACGGACGGAGGTGGGGGAAGGGTGGACGGAGGTGAGGCAGCAGGCTGAGGCAGTGGAGGGATTATCAGCCGCGAGGAGCGGACGATCGATGGCTTCTGGCCCACCGTCGGGCCGGAGGGCGTGGACGCCGCGGGAGAGCGCACGCCGTTCGATCCGCACCGGCCGTCCGCTGTGCCTTCGTCTGCACGAGCGAGGGGCAGGGAAGTTCTGGCAACGGCCTGCGCGGATGTCGTCACACCGAACGTGGTCGTCTGCCTTCTCCCGATCGAGTCCAGGGGCCGTCCAGCAATATTGGGCCGGGCGTCCTCGCCTGTGCGCGCGCTGAGAGGTCCCGCGCGCGCGACGTCGGTCGTGGGCTCGCCATGCGAGACCCCGCGAGAACCATCGGTACAGGAGCGCCGCTGTGGCTGGCCCGCTTCCGAGACTCTTGGAGGGGGAGAAGGAGGGGCAGGTGTGGGCGGTTTCATGGGAGGGTGTGGCGAACTTCGAAGCAGAGGAATGCGAGGAGAGGATGAAGGGAGAATGAGAGAGCGATTGGAGTCGAGAGGGAGCGCGGCTGAGCAGGACGCACCTCTTATATGCCGCCACCCGTGCATATGTGCTTCTCAAGGAAGCCGGCGGATTTGGAAGGAGGGCGAGGCTCGATGCGCGAGTTTGCGCAATGGACGCGACTCCGGCGCGCGCTGAGGGCGCTTTTGGACGTGCAGACTCGACATGGCCAGATTCCGCCGCATGAAGAGGTCCGCGAGGAGTGCGCAGAGATGAGGAAGGAGCGGGGGCACGGAAAGTAGGCGAGAGTGCCGTGGCGGAAGTCGGAGTCAGGATTGGGAGGACGACGCGCGAGCAAAACTCCTTTCGGGGTGTCCGGCGTCTGTACACCTTGCCTCCGTCCACATCATCGCTCCGTCCTCGCCCAGCATCTCGGGCTCTCGCTCTCCCTCCCCTTCCCTGATTCTTACCTCGCCAGTCACTTCTGCACTGGCGCGATACGCCTTTGCTTTGGCACTACCAGCACTCACCGGACTCCTCTCTCCTCCCTCGGACGATCTCATATGAAACCTGCGCGGGATATTGGCTCGCGTATGTGTGTATTGAATCGCGTTCTCCCCCCGTCACTAATGCAACCTCCCTACTAGCCATTTTGTTCTCGTCTTGTATCATTCCTGTGCCTACACCGCCTCGGTGGTCCAAACACAAATCACACTTCGTATCCTCTCCCATTGTCGCGACATTGGAAGCTGCGTGCAATGTCGCAAGAGACCTCGGTGACGGCGAGATCCCAACATGAGTGAGCATTCAGCCACCCATATTTTGCGTATGCCTGGGTGCGATCTGCACTTCACAACTCCGGGGTCCACTCTACCCGTCTGCGCGTCGGCAACTCGCGCGCGAGGCCGTGGCTCAGCGTCGAGGTTAGAGTCATCCTCAAGGCTCGACACCACACTGCAAAGCTGGGGGAGAGAGCGGACGACGCGCACGGGCGAGCGAGCGGTGAACGCGACCACTCCTGAATTGGGGTCCCGTCCGCCGAGGGCAGCGCGTGGTCCCTCGCCACCTGCTGCTCGACCGCGTTCTTCCAACGGTCCGACGGAGGCTTTACCCCGGAGCGCTCGCGACGTGATCGTTTCCAACGAGCGAGCGTGCAGACGGATGCGGTAGGCGGGCGCAAGGGCATAGGCGGACGGATGGGGGAGCACGGAGACGGGGGAGATGACGTGCCGGCGTGTCGCGCGGACGCCAGATTCCGCACCACGGTCGTGCGTCTGACGCGCGAGTTCGAGGATAGCTCGCGCGAGTCCGGTGCGTAACCGACGTGCCGGCGTGTTGCGCAGATTCCGCGCCACGGTCGTGCGTCTGAAATGAGAACGCGAGGCGCGCGAGTGCGGTGCATTTGAGCTTCCCCCCCGCTGGTCGGCGAGCCGCCGCGGGGACGTCGCGTGTCGACACAACCCACCCTGCTTCGTCGCGGTCGAGTCCCAGCCCTCGCGCGTTGGTGTCGACCACGGCGACGTCGAGCGCGAGCTGGTTCATAGCCGGTGGCGTATCGCAGTGGCCTGCTTCCTGCTTCCTCCGGAGTCCACCCGCGCTGAGAGACGCGCGCGGGCCAGTCGGTCGGCCGGTCTGTCGTTCCCGTCCTTCCAAACCCGCTGCTGCCTGGGCAAGTGCTTCGTCGCGAGGAGGCCTGCACCCCGCGGCTCCGGCGCGTCAGGAGGAGCACTTCGGAGCCTGCGGGCGTGTCCGCGGAGAGTGGTACAAGCCAAATGGCAAAAGCGTATCGGCCGGCCGCAGGGGTCGCGCACAGCTGATCTGCCCAGTGCCGCTCGCTTCGGCGAGGACGCGTGGTAGGCGACGTTCGTCGTGGTCGCGTTCACACTTCGAGCGAGGAGCTGTCCGAGTGGAACAGACATCGCAGGCGGCGGGGGATGAGGACTGCTGCGGTAAACCCTGCCGGGCGGGTCCTGACAACCTTTCAGACTTTTGAAATGCGAGGCACCGACAAGCCCTCGAGCGAAGCCGAGAGACGTACCCGAAGGACGCCAGGAACGTGCCCCGCAGAAGGCCGGAGACGTCTCCACCGTGCGGGAGGCGCTGGGGTCGTGGCTCGGTCGATAAGCATCCCTCGTCGTCCCGGAGGCGGTCGGCTTGGCGCTCAGTCGTTCCGATTCCCTGTGAGAAGGCGATGTCGGGACTTGGCGGCTAGATTACACGAGCGCAGCGTCCGCCAGTCAACTTTCGGCGGTCACCTCCCGTGCCCTGTCGAGAGGGAGGCTTCGGTCTCGCCTCTATGAGCGCACAGGCTGTGAGCGGGCTGACCGCGTGGAGGAGTCTGGGAGGACGCCAGTACGGATCACCCACTTGAATCGCACTCGGAGTCTCCTGGGTCGAAGTCTTCGCGTCGCCGGCAGGTTGCAAGCAGGATCGCGCGCACAGCGGGGCAGCGTCCGACACGAGCGGAGCAGCTGCTCGCCGCCGCCCGCGCGGCCCGAGCACGCGAACCGAAGCCTAGAAGGCTCGCGGGAGGGCGGGGAACAATGCATACCCTCGGCGGTGGGGCGGGCGGAGCCGGTGTGATCGACCCCGCACGCGTGCGCTCCCCCAGCAGCGGCCACGTGCGGGTCCCTGTGGTGCGCGGCCGGGGGCGGCGGCGATGCGTAGAGAATGAAGAGCGGTTTAGATCTCGTTCGCGCGGCCTTCGACTCCGTGATCAGGGGCGGCACGCACAATCCCCTCGTCCGGTGACTCTCGGTCATCCAGATGGATCAAGTTTGCACTCTGTGGGATTGAACGGTTCAGCTGTTAGTCGAAGGACGCGTGCGCAGCCCAGCAGGGATGGGGCAGATCTAAAAACACTCTTCGTATATAGTTTGGTGGTGGCGGGGCAAGGAATGGAGAAAGTGAGAGAAGAAGAGATAGAATTTGGGACCAGAGAGCCTAGATCTTACACTAGTGGACACATATGTATGAGACATGATTCAGATTCTTGTGGTCACGGAACAACAAACGGAGAACAAGGCGTCAAAGTTGACAACCACGCCACAGCTGGAACATATACAATATCAGTGACACTGCTAGAATACAAACATAGAGTGGCTCTGCCGACGAATCACAATGTCGAGGTGGCGCAGGGAAGAGTATATGTAGTTGAATACACAGTAAAGGATGACCGTATCTAACACGTGATAGCGGAGACGTGTGTAAGGTCGTAGACGACGAAAAATGGAGAGTATACACAACGGGGAACAACTCGAACCTATGGATACACAGAGGGAAACAATACAGTCCGATGTTGAACGGACATGGTGACAATGGTCTGGGGAGAGGACATCGGTCAAAAAGGAGCTCAACGCGGCGACGACTGTGGTGCAGACATACCTAGACGGGCCTACGCCTGCCTCCCAGCACCACCGCGAACTCCCGCGACGCTCCGGTCTCCTTCAGACCCCAGAAGAAGCACCGGGAGCCGCCCAGGAGGTCCGCGTACGTCGCCTCGCCGTCACCCTACGCGCAAGGTTGCTCTGCTCCGGGCGTGCTCCAATCGGCTCGTCCTCGACGAACCAGTCGCACCCCTCCGCGAGCTTGTACGCGATGCAGTTGAGGACATCCGCGATGGTGGAGGCCTGCGCCAGACGACGTGCAATGGGCGAAGAACTCCGTGTTCGAGCCTTCGTTGAAGATGATCTTGCACCGCGAGAAGCCGGTGGCGAATGCTTGTGCTTCGCAGCGCGGATCGCGGAGGAGGTCGTGCGGGAGGGCTTCGCGCAGGTCCCACCTGAAAGGCCGGGGGAGAGAGGCGAGGAACGGGGTGATGGAGTTGTACGGAGCAGCGAGGGTGGCCGTGGATGTGGCGGTGTGTGTCACCGTCGTTGAAGTCGAGGTCGACGGGGTGGTGGATGGGGCCCGATAGAATCGAACGCGCGCGCGGGGAGGTGGAGGTGCGGGCAGCTGGCCTTGCGCGTCGGATCCGGGGGACGTCGCAGGGGTGGTATACGCGGACGCTCCTTCGCTGCTCGGGCTGAAAGAGAACGAGGTGCTAGACGACCGGTGGCTGCTCGCGAGGCTACCGCGGGGTGTGCCATCGTTGACGCGGACATCCGACCGAGACGAGAGGGGTGGGGATGGAAGGCTCGACGGCGGAGTGGACGGCCATGGAGGGAGCGATAAACGCGACAACGGCGGCGGCGGGTGGGCAGTGGAGGTGGGCGATTCCCAGGTCGATGTCGGAACGCCGAGAGCACGGGCCGTGGCGACGTCTTCTCTGGCGCTCTCGCGCGAGCTGAGAGTATGGCGCGGAGCCGCGCTCTCGTCTGCACTCGCCGCGGGACGGTCTTGCGCGAGGCGTGCGCGGTGTTCTTGCCCATGGAGGATGCGAGAGGTGTGCTCCAGGCCGTTCGTCCCACCAGCAGACCCTACGCGGAGGGCCTGCAGACCGAGAGCGAGGCGAGCGACGTCATTGTCGTGCCCGCCGGGCGCGGCCTGCGACCGGGGGCCGCCGCTTCCGCCCGTGCGCGAGACCTGTGAATGGCCATGCGCGGACGCAGAATTGGATGTGTGAGACATGGGTCGAGGTGAAAAGGAGGGGAGGAGGTGTGAGAGGGAGGATAGCGACGAGTGAAGGTGGGGATGGGCAGGACGGCGGAGGCCTGGTGGAACAGAGGTCGTCGAGTGGACGAGGGGCCGGAGTTGGGTTGGCTGAGGAAATGGCAGAGCGCGACGCACATATTATACATATTCTGCTGTCGGTTTGTGTGTGTACCAATGGGCAGCCCTACCCGACCCATTTGGACGAGGAGGAGTGGGGGCATGCTCATCCACGGCGTTGAAGAGACTCCCGCGAGCGCTGTGGGCGGCGTCTAGACTGTAGTCTCTGCATGGTCGTTGGAATTTTCTGTGAAATTCTGGGAATTTTTGAAGCAGAGGATGGATGGGAGGAGGTTAGAATGTGGGGGAGAAGAGGTTGTGGCGGAGGAAGAGAGCAGGGAGCGCCGGACCGAGAGCTGCGCGACGTCTAGGCGCTGCTCGCAACTCTCCTCTTGCCCTCTCGCTCCTTTCTGCGTTCCCGTCTGTCTGTCTACACGCCCATCGCCCACGCACGTTCATGTCTGCTTTGGCTCACTCTAGGTTAGCCACCTATGCCGGCTTCTTACACCCTCATGCTAGAACATCACTGCTGACAACGCCAAGTTGCAGGCAACAGCAAGTCCTTGCGCCCTATCATTCCTCCCCTTGGATCTAATTGTCCCATGAAGCGTTCTGACCTTCGATCGTTGATGTCAAAGTCGACGTTGGCATTGTAGACAGGCCAGTCTGCGTCAGTGACGATTGGTCACGGCCAGGCCGTTGTACAAGTGGTGAGTAGTTCGCTCAAGTTTTCATGCGCAAATCCTCCCCTGGTCCGGAATTCTCTGCACGATCATGTTGTAAATGCATGTGGTAGTAGTCTCCGGATTATAACGTTCCATCATAATATAGGAGTGGCTTTGCCTGCATGCGTTTCCCTCAGCGACGACTACAGCTGCTCTCCAAGAAGATCCACTTTCTCGTGTGTTGTGTTAGAGGGGAGGGCGTCATCATTTCCTTCGGGCATAAGTGCACCCGTCCTTCGTCCATCCGGCCGGGTCGGTGTGCGCGCACATCGACGGGGTGTAAACCCAGAGATTCGAGCGCGACGAGTCAGCTCGCGCGCTCAGGCGGTGTACAAACGCGGGTTTCTTACGCCAGCCAGCCAGTGGTCTGGAGGACCCGTTTGGACGAGCGGCGGCGGGGCAGTCCGGCGACCGATGTGGGTGTGCGCACTCGGCGCTGCTCGCGACGCTGTTGAAGACAATAAGACTTGGCCGGGCCGCGACCCGCCGCAGCGCCTTGGTTGTGAAGCACTTGCTAGAACTCCAACCGTGGCTACCACCGCTCGCTCAGGAGGAAGAATGTGGAAATTCGCTCTACGTCGTTGCGCTCGCCCGGGTGGCTTCGATTGGGAGGACGCACCTAGGAGGTGTTTCAGGATTTATCAGCAGTCGGAATCTGTTCGAGGGCCACGCATGTGGGCTTTCGAGCCCGACTTTGCACATACCTAACAGAGTGAGAGAGTGTGCAGTCGAGCTTTGATTCCGAGACTCGACAAAGTGTCGCGATCAGGACATTCCACAATGTCCACGTCAGTAGCGGCCGCGTGCGCATCTGGGTCGACTTCATCAGCGAGAGCGTTGTCCCCACCTTCATGCGCACCGTCATGGCGCAGGAGCCCGCAAAGCAGGCGGAGAGCCTCCAGGAGTTCTACAACGCGCTCCGAACGCTCATGGCGCAGGTCAAGGGCCCGTACTTTGCTGGCGAAGAGTTCACGCTTGCCGGTGTCGCTATCGCGCCGTGGATCGTGCGCGACTATATACTCAGGGACAACCGAGGGTACGACCGGTCGGCGGTCGGCGGCGGGTTGAAGGAGTACGCCGAGAGGATCGAGTCGCGGGACAGCCTCAAGAAGACGAGCACCGTATGTGATGACCCTCCTTTCGCGTGTGCTGGGCTGCTTACATGAAGGTGTTGTCGCAGGAGAAGGACAAGTACACGAAGATAAGTATACGGGCCGCACATGCGCAACTAAGCGACGAGCGAGGCAGCGAAGGCTATCAGAGCAGCGGCGCGCCGCGCGCCGCACTTACTGGAGACAGCAATGTACTATTGCATAGGATATCAATGTCGTATATATTATTTTCATACATGATACGGCGGTGAGCTGCACGTACTTGATCCCGAGTCAAAAGGGACGGCAATACCATGACAACACTCACAATACTACCATCCTCTGCTTAAGTACGATGTCCTCGTCATGGTATTCAGCCACATCCGTGTAAATACATGGCGCCGCGTGCTATGAGCAACGAGTAGGCGGATGTCCGCCGCGATGAGGGCTTGTCTCACGCACCACCACCCATTGTGCAGCACTGGAGCGCTCTCCGTCAGCCGTAGGAACGAGATTCAGTCCCTCGTCTCGTCCACACCTTGGTCCCCGGTCTGTAGAATAGACGGACAGACCCTGACGGTGCAGCGGGAAGAGGCCCTTGGTCATGTTCTCCCGGGCTGCCACGGGCTCCAGACCGGTGTTCTTGCTGTGCATTCGCGCTGATTACAGTGAGACAGAAGCCGCCGCCCGCGAAGCTTTGTCGGGCTTCTTGTCCACGTCAGCGAGGATTGTGGTCTGAAAGCGTTTCTTTGGACGCTTCCAGACCAGTGGACTCGGTGCAAGGGCAGCATTATGGAGGAGGGATGGGAAGAGGGTCGTCCATACTGACGTGGACATTGTGGAATGTCCTGATCGCGACACTTTGTCGAGTCTCGGAATCAAAGCTCGACTGCACACTCTCTCACTCTGTTAGGTATGTGCAAAGTCGGGCTCGAAAGCCCACATGCGTGGCCCTCGAACAGATTCCGACTGCTGATAAATCCTGAAACACCTCCTAGGTGCGTCCTCCCAATCGAAGCCACCCGGGCGAGCGCAACGACGTAGAGCGAATTTCCACATTCTTCCTCCTGAGCGAGCGGTGGTAGCCACGGTTGGAGTTCTAGCAAGTGCTTCACAACCAAGGCGCTGCGGCGGGTCGCGGCCCGGCCAAGTCTTATTGTCTTCAACAGCGTCGCGAGCAGCGCCGAGTGCGCACACCCACATCGGTCGCCGGACTGCCCCGCCGCCGCTCGTCCAAACGGGTCCTCCAGACCACTGGCTGGCTGGCGTAAGAAACCCGCGTTTGTACACCGCCTGAGCGCGCGAGCTGACTCGTCGCGCTCGAATCTCTGGGTTTACACCCCGTCGATGTGCGCGCACACCGACCCGGCCGGATGGACGAAGGACGGGTGCACTTATGCCCGAAGGAAATGATGACGCCCTCCCCTCTAACACAACACACGAGAAAGTGGATCTTCTTGGAGAGCAGCTGTAGTCGTCGCTGAGGGAAACGCATGCAGGCAAAGCCACTCCTATATTATGATGGAACGTTATAATCCGGAGACTACTACCACATGCATTTACAACATGATCGTGCAGAGAATTCCGGACCAGGGGAGGATTTGCGCATGAAAACTTGAGCGAACTACTCACCACTTGTACAACGGCCTGGCCGTGACCAATCGTCACTGACGCAGACTGGCCTGTCTACAATGCCAACGTCGACTTTGACATCAACGATCGAAGGTCAGAACGCTTCATGGGACAATTAGATCCAAGGGGAGGAATGATAGGGCGCAAGGACTTGCTGTTGCCTGCAACTTGGCGTTGTCAGCAGTGATGTTCTAGCATGAGGGTGTAAGAAGCCGGCATAGGTGGCTAACCTAGAGTGAGCCAAAGCAGACATGAACGTGCGTGGGCGATGGGCGTGTAGACAGACAGACGGGAACGCAGAAAGGAGCGAGAGGGCAAGAGGAGAGTTGCGAGCAGCGCCTAGACGTCGCGCAGCTCTCGGTCCGGCGCTCCCTGCTCTCTTCCTCCGCCACAACCTCTTCTCCCCCACATTCTAACCTCCTCCCATCCATCCTCTGCTTCAAAAATTCCCAGAATTTCACAGAAAATTCCAACGACCATGCAGAGACTACAGTCTAGACGCCGCCCACAGCGCTCGCGGGAGTCTCTTCAACGCCGTGGATGAGCATGCCCCCACTCCTCCTCGTCCAAATGGGTCGGGTAGGGCTGCCCATTGGTACACACACAAACCGACAGCAGAATATGTATAATATGTGCGTCGCGCTCTGCCATTTCCTCAGCCAACCCAACTCCGGCCCCTCGTCCACTCGACGACCTCTGTTCCACCAGGCCTCCGCCGTCCTGCCCATCCCCACCTTCACTCGTCGCTATCCTCCCTCTCACACCTCCTCCCCTCCTTTTCACCTCGACCCATGTCTCACACATCCAATTCTGCGTCCGCGCATGGCCATTCACAGGTCTCGCGCACGGGCGGAAGCGGCGGCCCCCGGTCGCAGGCCGCGCCCGGCGGGCACGACAATGACGTCGCTCGCCTCGCTCTCGGTCTGCAGGCCCTCCGCGTAGGGTCTGCTGGTGGGACGAACGGCCTGGAGCACACCTCTCGCATCCTCCATGGGCAAGAACACCGCGCACGCCTCGCGCAAGACCGTCCCGCGGCGAGTGCAGACGAGAGCGCGGCTCCGCGCCATACTCTCAGCTCGCGCGAGAGCGCCAGAGAAGACGTCGCCACGGCCCGTGCTCTCGGCGTTCCGACATCGACCTGGGAATCGCCCACCTCCACTGCCCACCCGCCGCCGCCGTTGTCGCGTTTATCGCTCCCTCCATGGCCGTCCACTCCGCCGTCGAGCCTTCCATCCCCACCCCTCTCGTCTCGGTCGGATGTCCGCGTCAACGATGGCACACCCCGCGGTAGCCTCGCGAGCAGCCACCGGTCGTCTAGCACCTCGTTCTCTTTCAGCCCGAGCAGCGAAGGAGCGTCCGCGTATACCACCCCTGCGACGTCCCCCGGATCCGACGCGCAAGGCCAGCTGCCCGCACCTCCACCTCCCCGCGCGCGCGTTCGATTCTATCGGGCCCCATCCACCACCCCGTCGACCTCGACTTCAACGACGGTGACACACACCGCCACATCCACGGCCACCCTCGCTGCTCCGTACAACTCCATCACCCCGTTCCTCGCCTCTCTCCCCCGGCCTTTCAGGTGGGACCTGCGCGAAGCCCTCCCGCACGACCTCCTCCGCGATCCGCGCTGCGAAGCACAAGCATTCGCCACCGGCTTCTCGCGGTGCAAGATCATCTTCAACGAAGGCTCGAACACGGAGTTCTTCGCCCATTGCACGTCGTCTGGGCGCAGGCCTCCCACCATCGCGGATGTCCTCAACTGCATCGCGTACAAGCTCGCGGAGGGGTGCGACTGGTTCGTCGAGGACGAGCCGATTGGAGCACGCCCGGAGCAGAGCAACCTTGCGCGTAGGGGTGACGGCGAGGCGACGTACGCGGACCTCCTGGGCGGCTCCCGGTGCTTCTTCTGGGGTCTGAAGGAGACCGGAGCGTCGCGGGAGTTCGCGGTGGTGCTGGGAGGCAGGCGTAGGCCCGTCTAGGTATGTCTGCACCACAGTCGTCGCCGCGTTGAGCTCCTTTTTGACCGATGTCCTCTCCCCAGACCATTGTCACCACATCCCCCTCTGTGTATCCATAGGTTCGAGTTGTTCCTCGTCGTGTATACTCTCCACTTTTGGACGTCTATGACCTTCCACACGTCTCCGCCATCACGCGTTAGATACGGCCGTCCTCACTGAACCTCACTGTGTATCCAACTACATATACCCCTCCCTGCGCCACCTGGACATTGTGCTTCGTCGGCAGAGTCGCTCTGTGTCTGTATTCTGGCAGTGTCTATGATATTGTATGCGTTCTAGCTGTGGCGTGGTTGTCAACTTTGACGCCTTGTTCTCTGTTTGTTGTTCCGTGACCACAAGACTCTGAATCATGTCTCATACATATGTGTCCACTAGTGTAAGATCTAGGCTCTCTGGTCTCAAATCCTATCTCTTCTTCTCTCGCTGGCTCCATTCCTTGCCCCGCCACGACCAACTCTGTATACGAAGAGTGTTTTTGGTGCTCACCTCTCTGCCCAATCTCTGCCGGGCTGCGCACACGTCCTTCGACCAACAGCTGATCCTCTCCTTCGCCAATCTCGCAGAGCGCAAACTTGATCCATCTGGATGACGGCGAGCCACCGTGATCGCTATCACGGAGTCGAAGGCCGCACGAACGAGATCCGAACCGCTCTCCATTCTCCAGTGCCCGCCCCGGCCGCGTACCACAGGGACCCACACGTGGCCGGGACCACTGCAGGCGGAGCGCACGCGTGCGGGGTCGATCACACCGGCTCCGCCCGCCCCACCGCCGAGGGTATGCATTGTTCCCCGCCCTCCCGCGAGCCTTTTAGGCTTCGGTTCGCGTGCTCGGACCGGGGCGGCGAGCGGCTGCTCCGCCGTGCGCGCGATCCTGCTTGCAACCTGCCAACGACGCGAAGACTTCGACCCTCGAGACTCCGAGTGCGATTCAGGTGGGTGGTCCGTATCGCACATGTCCTCCCCGACTCCTCCACCCGGTCAGCCCGCTCACAGCCTGTGCGCTCATAGAGGCGAGACCGAAGCCGAGTCCATCCCTCCGTCGCCAGCGCACGGGAGGTGTCCGCCGAAAGTTGACTGGCGGACGCTGCGCGAGTGTAATCTAGCCGCCCAGTCCCGACGTTGCCTTCTCACAGGGAATCGGAACGATATCTGGGCGCCGAACCGACTGCCTCCGGGACGACGAGGGATGTCGATGCTTATCGACCGAGCTCCGATCCCAGCGCCTCCCGCACGGTGGAGACGTCTCCGGCCTTCTGCAGAGCACGTTCCTGGCGTCCTTCGAGTATGCCTCCCAGCTTCGTTCGAGCCTTCGAGGGCATGGCGGTGCCTCACATTTCAAAAGTCTGAAAGGCTGTCGGGACCCGCCCGGCAAGGCTACCGCAGCAGTCCCCGTCCCCCGCCGCCTGCGATGTCTGTTCCAGGACAGCCCCTCGCTCGAAGTGTGAACGCGACCACGACGAACGTCGTCCACCACGCGAACGAAGCCGAAGCGAGCGGCACTGGGCAGATCAGCTGTGCGCGGCCATACGCTTTTGCCATTTGGCTTGTACTCTCGGCGGACACGCCCGCAGGCTCCGAAGTGCCCGGACAGACGCGGAGCCGCGGGGTGCAGGCCTCAGCTCGCGACGCAGCACTTGCCCAGGCAGCAGCGGGTTTGGAAGGACGGGAACGACAGACCGGTAGGTGTGGAACCGGCCGACTGACCGCGCGCGTCTCTCAGCGCGGGTGGACTCCGGAGGAAGCAGGAAGCAGGCCACTGCGATACGCCACCGGCTATGAACCAGCTCGCGCTCGGCGTCGCCATGGTCGACACCAACGCGCGAGGGCCACGACGAAGCAGACTGGGTTCTGTCGACGCGCGACGTCCCCGCGGTAGCTCGCCGACCAGAGGCGGGGGAGGGCTGAAACGCACCGTACTCGCGCGCCTCGCGTTCTGACTTCAGACGCACGGCCGTGGCGCGGAATCTGCGCAACACGCCGGCACGTCGTCTCCTCCGTCTCCGCGCTCCCCCATCCGTCCGCCTCTGCCCTCGCGCCCTCGCGCTCGCCTGCCGCATCCGTCTGCACGCTCGCTCGGTGGAAACGATCACGTCGCGCGCGCTCCGGGGTAAAGCCTCCGTCGGACCGTTGGGCGGACGCGGTTGAGCAGCAGGTGGCGCTGCCCTCCGCGAACGGAACCCAAGTTCAGGAGTGGTCGCGTTCACCGCTCGCTCGCCCGTGCGCGTCGTCCGCTCTCTCCCCCAGCCTTGCGATGCGGTGTCGAGCCTCGAGAAGGACCCAGCGATGCCGAGCCACGGTCTTGAGCGCAAGGTGCCGACACGCAGACAGGCGTAGTGCACCACAGTGCGGATCGCACCCAGACATACGCAAGATATGGGTGGCTGAATGCTCACTCATGTTGGAATCTCGCTGTTACCGAGGTCTCTTGCGACATTGCACACAGCTTCCAATGCCGCGACAATGGGAGTGAATACGAAGTGTGATTTGGGTCTGGCCAACCGAGGCGGTGTAGGCACAGGAATGGTACAAGACGAGCACAGAATGGCTAGTAGGGAGGGTACATGAGAGACGGGGGAGAACGCGATTCAATATACACATACGCGAGCCAATATCCTGCGCTGAGTTCATGAGATCGTCCAGGGGAGGGGTGACGAGTCGGGTGAGTGCTGGTATTGCCAACGCGAACGCATTTCGAGCCAGTGGAGAAGTGGTGGGCGGTGTAAGAACGAGGGAAGGAGAGCGAGGTTGGGTGCGAGTGCCCGAGATGCTGGGCGAGGACGGAGCGATGATGTGGACGGAGGCAAGGTGTATAGACGCCGGGCACGCCGAAAGGAGTTTTGCTCGCGGAGTCGCGCGTCGTCTTCCCAATCCCGACTCTGACTCCCGCCACAGCACTCTCGCCCACTTTCCGTGCCCTCGCTCCTTCCTCATCTCTGCGCACTCCTCGCGGACCTCTTCATCCGGCGGAATGTGGCCATGTCGAGTCTGCACGTCCAAAAGCGCCCTCAGCGCGCGCCGGAGTCGCGTCCATTGCGCAAACTCGCGCATCGAGCCTCGCCCTCCTTCCAAATCCGCCGGCTTCCTTGAGAAGCACATATGCACGGGTGGCGGCATATAAGAGGTGCGTCCTGCTCAGCCGCGCTCCCTCTCGACTCCAATCGCTCTCTCATTCTCCCTTCATCCTCTCCTCGCATTCCTCTGCTTCGAAGTTCGCCACACCCTCCCATGAAACCGCCCACACCTGCCCCTCCTTCTCCCCCTCCAAGAGACTCCGAAGCGGGCCGGCCACAGCGGCGCCCCTGCACCGATGGCTCTCGTGGGGTCTCGCATGACGAGCCCACGACCGACGTCGCGCGCGCGGGACCTCTCAGCGCGCGCGCAGGGGAGGACGCCCGGCCCAGTGCTGGACGGCCCCTGGACTCGATCGGGAGAAGGCAGACGACCACGTTCGGTGTGACGACATCCGCGCAGGCCGTTGCCAGAACTTCCCAGCCCCTCGCTCGTGCAGACGAAGGCACAGCGGACAGCCGGCGCGGATCCAACGGCGTGCGCTCTCCCGCGTCGTCCACGCCCTCCGGCCCGACGATGGGGCAGAAGCCATCGATCGTCCGCTCCTCGCGACTGATAATCCCTCCGCTGCCTCAGCCTGCTGCCTCGCCTCCGTCCACCCTTCCCCCACCTCCGTCCCTTCCCCCACCGCCGTCTGCCCTCTCGCCGTCGCCGCCTTCTGGCTTCCCAACGTTGTCATCATGCACAATCTCCCACGCGCCCCCTCCAATTCCTCCCCCGCACACGCGGCCCCAAATCAAGCATGCGCGTTTGTCGCCTGCTTCGGTCCCTCCGCCGCCATCCGCCTCGCGCCCGCTGCCCATCCCTCCGGCTCCGCCGGCGTCGGTCCCCGCCTCCCACCTCGGCGTTCCAATCAGCCACGTCCCCGACGCTCCCCCGAACACTCGCCCCCTGTCCGGGACGTCGTACGCATCCAGCTGGAGTGGAGGCACCGGTACCAGCTCCGACGGGACCGGCGCGTCTGTATACGGCACTCCGCTCACGTCCCCCGAGGTCGGCACCCACGCCCTCAAGCCCGCGCGCACGCTTGTCCCCGCCACCGTGAGGCCCACTGCTGCATCTGCGACCCATGTCCCCGCCCCCGCCGCGAGCTCCGGATCTTCCCCCGCCAGTTCCACACCCTCCACCCCGACACCCGCCACCCCCAGGCCTGCGTCCCACGGGACGGCCCCTGCGCCGACGCCTGTCCCCGCCCCCGTGTCCGTCGTCGCAGCGCCGGCTGTCCCTCCGCCCGCCGTCCCAGTCACGCCCGCTCCCGCTCCCGCCGCTCCCTCCGCTCCCGCCGCCGCCGCCGTTCCACCCGAACCCATAGCCAGGATCCTCGCTGCTTTCCCCGCTCCCCGATGGAACGTTCGTCATTGCCCTACCCCGGCCTTCCTACGCGACGATCTCTTCCGCCAAACCGCCTTCGCGGCTGGGCTCACCAAGTGTCGGGTGGTGTTCAATGCCGACTCCCCGGACGAGCGATTCCTCGCGACCTGCAAGGCCTCCCACGATGGCAATCCCCTCACTGTCGCGGACGTTCTGCGCGGGATCGGCGAGAAGCTGGCGGGCACACCCCATGTCGGCGCGGAGGAACCGTCTGCCGTGTGCGCGGCGAACCGCCGTCGCGCCAGCGGCGCCGAAGGGCCGATAACCTACGTGGACTTCGTGAAGACGACTGCGTACTTCTTCTTGGGACTGCGGGAGACCAACGTGCCGGGGGAGTTCGCCGTCGTGCTAGGAGAGCAGTTCTAGGTGCGTCTACACTAGACCACGTTTATCGTCTCGCTCCTCGTTGACGATGCGCTCTCTCCAGCCTAATGTTGCTCAGCGGTGTAATCTTATTGCAATACGTATAGTGATAGATATACTCTACACTCATTGGACCGTCCGTGCCACTCTCCCATCTCCTCATCGTCCCCCATCACGACCTCATCCGCTGCACGAAACCCTCGATGATCCACCGTAGAAGCCCGTGCATATCTTATCGCTATGTTTTGCATATCTTCTGTCGTCCATGCTATCCATCTTGTGCCACCATCTTCCGCTCATTTCACTGTCGCTATCGATTCATCTTTATCCCCGAACCCTCTTATCATTCGTTTATTCGTCGCTGCTTTCCCCTTCTTCCTCCTCTCCTCATCTCGCCTCCCCTGATTCCTTTCATCACTCTGTTCCTCACCACATCGTCCTCGCTGTAGCATCTAGAATCTCTCCCCTTGTTATCGGACTTTCTCTCCTCTCCTCTCACCCTGGATTACTCTTCTCACCTCGGACTGGTATCCTACATGTTATGTATACCCCGCACGACATCACCCACGTCTCCACCCCCATGCATTACAGGATACAGCACATACTCACCACTTGGTCCCCTTCACACACCACCTCTCCGACTTGTCCCTCTCCCCCTTCCTTCACCTTCACTGCGCAGCCTTTGATCTTTACCTTTTCCACCCCATCGGCTGGCGCCGAACCGTCCTCTGGACTTTACCCCTACACATACTTACGCGGATGAGAAGTGAGACCTGTCCCTCTTGAGCGGGAGGGCGGTCTCGCTTCAATGAAACTATGTTCGTATGCAATATCCTCATGCACGGCAATGCATGTGTGCACTGCTTGCCCCTTGTTCTCTTCAGATCATGCTGTGGCCGTGGGACCCATAAGGTCTCAGAATCGTCCACTGAGGGTGGCGGCGGCGGAAAATACAACATTCAAGCGCCACATGGATGGATCCACCGCCAGCGTACCTCTTGTTCCTGCTTGGGGCCACATCAATCCCTTGTTCGCATCGCTCCTCGTCGGCGGACCGTAGCCACGCGGCGCCGGTCAGCGCTCGTGCACCACATTCCACGGCGGAGAAGCGCGACAGGTGACGGAGGCGCGCGCGGGGGTGCGCACACAGTTCGTCTGGCACAAACCCCGTCGTCGACGTGCTCACTTGATCCGCGCTTTCGCCAATCTCAATCTCAGAAATCGTCGACCACAATTCGAGGCCGCACGAGCTGCTAGAAGCACTGCTGATCGGGCTCGCGCTGGGCTGCCAGAGAGCTGGGGAGCTGGAATCCTGAAATCGCCCGCCTCGCCGCGTTCCCGCGCGCGCAGGGTCGCTCTCCGTGCTCAGTCCCCGCAGCGCGGCGCACCTCCACCACAGAGCACCACAGCCGCTGCGCACGCGCACGGGGCCTGATCGACACGGCGTTCGGATTCCGGAGTCCGGATGCGACGGTACGCCCGCCGCCGCTGCGGAGATTGTGCATTGTTCTTGTCGAAATTCCGTTGAGGCTTTGCAGTTTGGCTACCACCGTGCCGGGCCGCCGCCGCCGCGCGCGCGCGTGCTTGGTCCGCTCGCGTCGGCCGGGGGCTCCGCGTCGCGCGGAGAAGCGTGGAGGAGGGCGGAACGCATCGTGCGTCGCGCGTAGCTACGGATGGGTGTGAGATGGGCGGGCGATGGGCGATCGACGGGCCTGGCGGTCGATATTCCCCGGCTCTTCGAGGCTCACTGCAGCCCCGGGGAGGTGGACCTCAGCAGGATTTTCAGCACCCGCATCTCGCCCGTTCCACTACAGAGTGTTTCACGCGCCGAAAAAACCGTGTGTTCGAGACCAGCGCCGAGCTGAAAATTTGCGTGGCCTCGCTAAACCTCGCTCAACGTTTGATCAAATGTCGATGCGGCCGAGTGCACGCCGCGGAGAGAGCTGAGAGCTCAATAAACCAGTCTTAAGTCGGGTGTTCTATTGAATATCGTACGTCTGGTACACACAGATCAGCTCGAGACCCGGGATCAACTTTGAGAGTACACGGTAGGCTCACCTCAGTCTCGTAGTCGAGGACTGAGGTGGCCATCGGGGCGCGGGCGCATACAAGTACAGCGGAAATACGTGCAAACAGGTGACGACATCGCGGGGGAACGAGAGTCCGTGGTCGATCGACCATACCGCCCTCCCGACTTCAACATGTTCCCTGAAAATATTTTTGAAAATACATGAACCCTCGAACGAGGTGTCCGTCTGTTGGTTTGGTCTCTTCATCATGTCTTCGCCTGCTGATTGGTTCCGTAAATACGTGCTGGCCGTTTGGAGACGCCGAGGGCGGCAACCGGCGCTATTCTGGCGCTAGTCCGACGCCGCGCTGACTGTCGGAAAAACTGAATCGGGCTTGCAAGCGCTTCCAATGCCATTGCAATAGTCCCAAGATTGATCCGAATTGGAACGTTCTTGCCAGATGACTAGTTTCTCCTGCAAGGTCATCGCAAGACCCCGCGCCAAATGGCTGTTCCGGGCGTCCACCTTGCAATTCGGGCTCCAGTCTTGCAGCCCCGTTTTCCTGTCGTCCTTTTCACTGGTTCACGCTTGTAATAGTCTCAAATAATAGCATTTACTAAACTACTACACGAAGGTCGACATGATATACACCAGACGGTGTCAAACGTGATCCTGGCAAACCTATAGTATCCTGGTAGTCTAGGCGAGAGACCGAGCATGAACACTAGAAACGGAGACGACGGAATGGGAGGCATGAGGACGAGGACGTTGAGGAAAGAGAACGGGGCGGGGCGGTAGAGACGGACAAGAGCCAGACCGGCAGTGAACAGCGCGATATGAACGACGCCAGTGACTAACCAGGAAGGCCGAGAGGAACAGAAACGGATGCAGAAGCACGAGGGAGGGTTGCAGGGCAGGAGTATCGTCAATGCGAGGAGAAGAGCAGCGGAGGGGGCAGAGGACAAGTGTGGACTCCAGACGGGCGGACGGCAGCAACAGACAACTAGCAACATAATTCCCGGGGCAGGGGGAGGCACTGGTGGTGAATGAAGTGGTGTCGGCCGACGACGTTCTAAGCTTTGACAGGAGACGACGGGGAGTTCGGATTCGGAACAGAGAGAGCATGGGAGGAAAGAGCAAGAGACACAACTCGGACTCAGACGCGAAGTCCAACTTTGAAATTGTGACAGGCGACGGGACTTCAGGGCAGGTTGAGTTCAACTATAGCCGTGCCGTCGCAAGGGGATCGGTCTGATTGATATGGTGTCGCAGGATGTTTGCCGTCTTGCAATCGATCCCAGTCGAACCTGGGCGTGCCAAGGTCGTTGCAATACGCGATCAAGACCGTGGCCTTGAATTGCCATATCATTGCCAGATAGCCGCCTTGCAAGACGGATTCCCTTTTTCCGACAACGCGCAACGCGCGTCTGACCTTGCCTCCTCCATCCAACCCGCCCCAGGGCTCCGGTCCATTCCATGGCCAAAGTACAAAGTCCACGCCATCTCCTCGTGTTGAAGGACCCTACCGCCAAAGCCGCCGACGCTCATGCTGGCTCACTCTTTCCGATTCAGTCTTGCTGCGGCTGCCGTCATATCAGGAGGTCACTCCGTCGGGCCTGGCCAGGCTCTGGAGGGGGATATTCCTGTGCAGTGCGCCAGCGCGCATATACCGACTTCCAGCGCCCGAGCGCGGCCACCTCAGGCCCGAACACGCGCGACACATACACCTCGCATGATAGGATCGACGACGCGAACAGAAGGGGCCTCCGGTGAGTCGTGACGAGACATCGCGCATCGTCATCATTCCCCAGCCCGCGCGACAGAGCTCAACCTTGCACGATGGACCCTGGATCCCGGCCTCACGACTGTTTTGGTCGCGCCAGAGGATGACACCTCCAGCCCCAGACGGGTGGACGATGGTCTTCGCAGGTTCGTGCGCCCATCTCCGCTCTCGCGCCGACGCCCCTTTCCCCCGCCCTAACTCTCCTCTGCGCCGACGCCTCAGTTGGGAGCGGGGCCTCGGCGACACGGACTCTGGGCGATGTTTGTGTGTACGTGGGAGCCAGATCGCGAGAGCACCGCGCGATTTCGTGCGCCGGCTTCGGCGGCGGGGTCGGGGCGCCGTTGGGTACCGCGTCTGTCGTGGCTCGTCGGCGGGCGAGGTCTGTCTTGTGCAACGTGTTGCTTCTTTTGCGCGGGGATCGAGTGCGAGAGGCTGCCTGCGTACTGCGATGTGGAGGTGGGTGCGTCAGGCGCCGCGGCATCGACGTCGTTGGGGGATCGAGTCGAAGGCACTGCTGCGGTGATCCTTCTCGCGCGAACCTATAGCCTCTGTCTCCGGGTTTACGCGAGAAAGCCCCGGATGGGCGTGGACGTTCCGCAATGAAGGCTTTCGTAACTGATCGCTCATGGGCTCCTTTGCAGAGGTATCCAATTCGCGCTGTGCGAAACCGAGGCCCCACTGAACAGCGATATCGGCAACTTGTTACATCGGTCTTTCCCAGGGGACGACGGGAGCACATGCTCTCTCCGAAATGTCGATGTGAGTGTATCTAGCAGTTGCCTCGCTTCTACGCAGTATCATAGGTCTCGGAGCTTGGTCTTCGTGGTTTTGAAGACGCTGGTTGCCATGGAGGGGCCAGAACAAGTGTCCCCGCCGTGCGAAGGGAAAAGCTCGTCCTGTCCTCTACCTGGAGTAGCATCGGCGACCCCGGGGTCTGGCCCTCCGCGCTCATCCTCGGGAAATTGAGATGCGCGAGGTCCGAACCGTCACATGTTATTAGGATTAGATAGCTGTGCGGGGCTGGCACTCGTCGGCCACAGTTGCGAGAGCGAGGCGGGATTGTCACACCGCCCATGACAGGTGGTGGTGCGTGCGCTCTACCTGTATTCGTTTGTCGGGCATGTCGTCATTGATAGGCAACCAGATTACATGCCTGCGCATTGCCCTCGCCAGTGCTTTCCGTCCCTTTTTACGTGGGCCCTCGACGCGCACAGGGGACCCGAGTAGGTGGATGGGTCGCGTTATCAGACGAGACTCCCTCCCTGGCCCTCCGAGCGAGCGCTGCACGTCGGGAAGTCCCGCCCTCCGAGCCTCCCGGTGCCAGCCGCCCGTGCCCGCAGTGAACCTTCTCGGTTCGCAAGACAATCCCCATCCGGTTGTCCCGAGCAATGCGTCTAAATCCACCTGCTTCGGTCGCGTTTCAGGTGCTTGTGCCCTGTCCCACACAGTCGTTCTGTTCCCAAGGGGTCGGTACGTGTGCGAGGTCTCCGCGGCACATGTTCCAATTAACCGTCATGTCAAGAGAGGAAGGTCGCGGGACCGCGCCCTCGTATAAGGCGGAGTGGCTGTGGGGGAGTCACCACCCGTTTCATTCTCCACACCCCACTTTCTCTTCGTGTTTACTCTCTGCGCCTGCGCGCCAGGACCGTGCGCTATGTCCTACAACCCGCACCACTTTTCAAACGCGCGTCCGTCGGTCAATTCCTCGGACGTCACGTCGCACGGTGGTCGCCAGCACGCGAGCAGCAACGCATATGTTCGCTTCTCCAACCAGACCGAGGAGTACCCACCGGCTCCACCCGCGGTTGATCCAAACACCCTACCTCTCCCCCGAACGCTCCGCCTTTCCACCCACCACTCCTCCGCGCGGTCGACCTCCCGGATGTCACTCCCACCCTCGCGCCCTCTACGCTCCCCGCCCTGCACGCCGCACCCCCCGCGCACAGCCATGACTTCCGAGGACCCGTCTCGGGCAACACCACTCCCCGCGCCCCGGGCTATGCCTTTGCACCCGCTTACGATCAAAAATGTGGCCCCGCCGTGCGGTCCCGCCCTCTCCCTGCACTCCCCTCCGCGTCCTCCACGCAAGTCACGGCTCCCGATCCCCAGGGCACCGAGGATGCCGGCGCTCGTTCCCACCTTGACGCCGGGCTCGCAGCGGGGCTCGCAGCTCTTACCATCGCCCCGCGCGCGTCCCACGCCGCCGCCACTGCCCACGACCCATCTCGTGTCCCGCCACCCATCCCCCGCCCCGACGCATCCGCGCGCTGGAGCTCGCCCACGAATGCCGAGTGCGCGGACACCCCGACGAGCATCCGAAGCGGGCACCAGTCGTCCGGGTCCCCCGATTCCACCAACTCCCTCTTCGCGGGGTGGTATAGGACGCCGCCGACGTCACCCGACGATCCCGAGTCCAAGGCTGGGGACGACGTCGGGCCCGTGCTCGTGGACCTCCTGCGCTACTTCGTCGACTACCACACGTGGGACCTCCGCACCTCCAAGGAACCTCCCGCCGGACTTCCGCTCGACACGCCCGCGTTCACCAGCCACGGTCGCTCGGAGCTCAAGCTGATGTTCAACCCACTATGGACGTTGGCGACGCGGGGCGCGGACGAGCAAGGCGGGCCGACCTTCTCCTGCACCGTCCGGCGCGAGGACAGAGCACCGCTCACGGTGCGCGACGTCCTCAGCGCGATCGGGCGGAAGATGTACAAGAGCACGCAGTGGCTCACGGCGGACGATCCGAACGGGAGCTGGCGCTACGAGCGTGCGGTTAAGGAGCGACGGTATCGGCTGGGCGGCGACGGGGACACGATGGTCAACGTCGACTGGTACCCCAGGCGCGAGAGCGTGCTCCTTAAGCTGCACCCGACGGACGATGTGGATGAGGTGTTGGTTATCTTGGGGGACCCGTCGCAGAACTGAGGTATGTGGGTCTGGGGTCTTGGTGTGCGTACGCGAGTGACTGACTGATCTCGTATAGAGCATTGTCCGTTGATTAACTCGACGCGACGCGACTGCCCTCATGGCCCCGGATTCTCCTTTCTATTACGACCCCACACGACCCCACACGGACACTCCCTGCACTCCCTCTCCACTGTACATATCCTAATCTCCCCCTCTACCTGCTCGTGCTTTATAATGCGGATGACGCTCGTACAACGCTCACTATACTACCACTTTACAAGGAATCCTCATCACGTACGACATGATAGTACAGTAGTCCCGGTGAACAGACTCGAGCTCCGGGCACGGCGGCGCACGGCATAACACATGTTCTCGCTGATCGTCTCCTCCTGTAACCCCCTTCCTTACCTACCAAGATTAGGCTTTGAGTCTCGTCCCGTACGCAGATACTGGCTGTGTTGTATGTAACAGTAGCAAAGTCCGGCGGGATTCGGAATACTAGCAGACGTGGATCGTCGAGGGCAGAGAGGGCGGCTCCTGGCATAAGCTCGCCTTTCTTGCCCTGAGGTTTCAGTCATTCAGACCATATTTCGGGTGACGGTGTGGCTAGCTACGCGGGTGATGTCTTAGCGTGTTGTGGGGCTCCGCGGCCGACCTTCACAAAATCGGAGATATAATCTGATGTAAATTCATGGAGAGCGCCGGCAGGTTTCGCCGAGCCGATAGGCGCCAGATCTTGTGTTCCTTTCTTACCACCACCACTTCCCCTCATTTACCGAACCCCGTCATACGGATGTAGCACACACACACACACATCGATGTGCTGGCGGACTAGTAACCACCATGATCGAACATACGTCAACCCTGTGAAACAGCAAGCGCTTCTGAGCGCAGCTCGCCAGGTAAATTTGCGCACATCCCGGTCCGCTCTCTCGGCTAACTTTGAGCTACATAGCTACTTATATGCGCAGCTCGTGCACGCCGACCCCACGTGCGACCAAACTCTGCGACAACCAGAAGCACCCTCACGCAAATCGTCACCTTGCCGGGCACCGCAGCACACCCGTGGGCCCCCTCCTCGTCACCCGTGGGACCCTGCAGGCTCACGATGGACCTACATGAACGTCCGCCCGCCGCTGTCCTGTCCACCCTATTCATCGTGGCCAGCCTAAATCGGCCTCCTATGCTGCCGCATTGTTGATCGCCGGGATCAAGCTGCGCGGTCACCCGCCCACCTCCTGGCGATCATGCATTGCTAGGCGCCGCCCCTGGTGGGCCATGCGGTGCTCACGCGCCCCGGGTGTGCGCTTTGGTTCCGGACTTGAAGCTTCAAGCTCCGAAGCTAGATCGCTCCGCGTCCCACGGAGATGGAGCGGACGCGTGGACGAGCGGCCGCGGGTGGGGCAGAGGGCCGAAGCGCGAGAGTGGGTCCGGTGAGTCTCGATCGCCTGTTGGAGCTTCGCGGGAGGAACTGAGGGGTCTGCTGTTCCAGGCGCTGCGGCTTTCGTCACTGGTCACTGTAATCGCTCATCCTCCACGCTGCTGTGACCGCGGGACCCACAACGTCTCAGAATCGGAGAATACAAGATCTAAGCGCCGTCCGATATATGGACCCTCGATCGGCGCAGGTCTTGGTCTTACCTGGGGCCACAGCAATCCCTTGTTTGCATCGCTCCTCGACGGCGGACCGTGGCCACGCGGCCCCGCCCAGCGCTCGCACACGACATTCCAGGGCGGAGAATTCCGCGACAGGTGACGGAGTCGCGCGCCCGCGGGTGCGCACGCAGTTCGTCCAGCACGGACCCCGTCGACGTGCTCAATTGATCGCGCTTCCGCAAATCTGGATATGCGATCGATGTGGACGCATCCTGGACATCCGCCCTACGTCGTTGCGCTCCCCCAGACGGCTTGATCATGCTCACTTTGATCATGCACTTTTTTTTTCGTCGTCCTCGTTTAACGCCCTCGAGGGCAGAGCCCTATGGTAGGCGTACAGTACACGTGGTAGTTCTACGATGCAATGGGACAGGGTTCGCGAAAAGTAGGGGGACGTCGACGGCGCAGATGCCCCAGGTCATGCACCTGGACTGAGTGGTCGCCTGTGGTCGCTCGAGGCTGTCGTAGCACGACGCATGACGTCATCCCATGCATCCGGGGTCCTTCAAAGGACCCCAAAATTCTCCTGACAGTTACGTTGAGCGCGCCGAATCGTCGCTTGCCCTTTGACCTCATTCACCACACTACAAATACAACTTATACCATCCACACACCTTCCGCGCAACTGAGCCAAAGGTACGGTCTCTCATTGTCTCAACTTTGTTATTCAGTTCAAACAAAACCTTCCAGATGAGCTCTTTTGGAGCGTCCATTCGTCACCGGACCTCTGAATGTGTTGATTCTCAGGCCCCTGAAAGCGTGTCTTGCCCGTGCGCTGAGAGAGTGCTTACTCATTCATTTGAGACCCAGATATAAACACGCACCTGCTGCTGTTTGCTGCCCCCATCTGCGCACCTGTCCACCACTGTATCAATCATGAGCGTACCCGACGTGAAAATCTTCCCCCACGCAACAGGTCTGGCTTCGAAAACCGTCAGCGAGCACCAAGACAAGCAGGATCTCATATTTTACTCCGGCTGGGTAAGCCTCAGCTCGGCATTCAGTACCATCCTCTCATTCTTCCGTCGTCGTCTCGCAGTTTTGCCCGTATGTGCAACGCACCTGGATCGTTCTCGAAGAGCGCGGCATTCCATACCAGTACGTGGAAGTAAACCCATACAAGAAAGAGAAACACTTCCTCGGTACGTCTTCCTTGCTCTCGCGAAGCTACTCCTTCTTCAGTCGCATTCACCCCACGTACGGACAGAGATCAACCCGAAGGGCCTCGTCCCCGCCGTCGAGTGGAAGGGACAAGCGCTCTACGAATCCCTGATCCTATGCGAGTTCCTCGAGGACGCCTTCCCCTCCCAGACGCCCCACATCCTTCCCTCCGATCCGATCGCGCGCGGCCGGGTGCGCATCTGGGTCGACTTCATCAGCAAGAGCGTCGTCCCCGCCTTCATGCGCACCGTCATGGCGCAGGAGCCCGCAAAGCAGGCGGAGAGCCTCCAAGAGTTCTACAGCGCGCTCCGAACGCTCATGGCGCAGGTCAAGGGCCCGTACTTCGCCGGTGAAGAGTTCACGCTTGCCGATGTCGCTATCGCGCCGTGGATCGTGCGCGACTACATCCTTAGGGACAACCGAGGATACGACCGATCGGCGGTCGGCGGTGGGTGGAAGGAGTACGCTGAGAGGATCGAGTCGCGCGACAGCCTCAAGAAGACGAGCAGCGTATGCAGTGATCTTCCTTTCGCGTGTGCTGGGATGCTTACACGAAGCTGTTGCAGGAGAAGGACAAGTACACGGAGATCTACGGGCGGTATCTGCGCGACGAAGCGATGAGTGAGGCAGCGAAGGCTATCAGAGCCGGGCGTCCATTCTAGGTCGCGCCGCACTCACTGGAGGTGGGCAGGGTGTAGCGAGGCAATCCCACAACAATGTCGCATATATGCTTTTGATACAGCGGCGAGCCGTACGTGCTTGATCTCAAGTCCGGAAGGACGGTGGTGTCATACCAACATTCGCAACGTCGTCATGCCCTCTCTTCATCCGACCATACTCTGCGCAAGTACAGTACGACGCCCCCGTTGTAGTATCCAGTCACATCCGTGCAGGTAGATCAATGGCGCCGCGTCGATGAGCGCGTGACTCGTGCACCACCGCCCATCGTCCAGCACTGGAGCGCTCCCTGTCCGCTGTGAGAAGGCGATCCAGATCCCTCGTCTGGTCCACACCTTGGTCTGGGTCTGGAGAATGGAAGGACAGACCCTGGCGGCACCGCGGGAAGAGGCGCTTGGTCAGGTTCTCCCGAGCTCCGAGCGCGAGACCGGTGTTCTTGCTGTGCGTCCGCGCTCATGAAAGTGAGACAGAAGCCGCCGCCCGCGAAGCTCCGCCGGGCCTCCCGTCTAGGTCAGCGAGGACCAGGCCCGTCGCAGGCCTCGCGCTATCGCGTTGTGGCAGCGTCTTTCTGGATGCTTTTAGCTCAGTAGACGCGGTGCCAGGGCGGTACTGATATGCTTATCGAGGGGGAATGGAGAGAGGCGATCGTCTACACTGGCGTGAATATCGTGGAATGTCTGGATCGTGAGTCTCAGAAACAAAGCCCAGCTGCACACTCTTTCACGGTGCTCCATACGGGTGCTCCATCCGACATCGGGGTCTCCGTGGGAGGCAAGCTTAGAAAAGGAGGGTATGTATGAAGTCGGGAGGGCTCTCGTGCGCACGCCTCTGGTCACCAGCAGGATCCGACTGCCGATAAACCCTGAAACACCTCACTGCGTCCTCCCAATCGCAGCCATCTCGGCGAGCGCACTGACACAGCGGATGGATGTCCAGGATACGTCCACACTCCCCTGTTGAGCGAGCGGTGGGTGCAAAGGTTAGAGTTCTGCCAAGTGCCTCACAACCAAGGCGCTGCGGTAGGTCGCGGCCTGGCCAAGTGTTATTGTCTTTGCGTCGCGGGCGGTGTCGAGTGGGCGCACCCACATCGGTCGCTGGACTGCCCCGACGCCGCTCGTCCCAACAGGTCCTCCCGACATATGACGCACACACTTCTGCTGACGCATGCCAGCCGTCTGTGCAGCGTGCTTGTCTGCGCTATTGTGCGCGGGCGACGCCACCGCCCGAATGTTTGGGTTTGCACCCCGCCGACGTGCGCGCACACCGACCCGGCTGGATGGACGCAAGACGGGGTGCACGCAAGCCTGAGGGCGATTTTCATGCCCCCCTCTGTAGCACAAGACACGAGAGAGTGGATGGAGTTGAAGGGGAGTTGTAATCGTCGCATACGCAGACAACCAAATATCGATATATCCCGACAACTCCACTCCCAGATAATGATGTAGTCCAGATACTACTACTACGTGCATTGACAACACTGCCGTGCAGAGACATCGAGTGCGCCACGAACGAGGGGAGGATCT